GTGGTGAAACAAGCGTCTTGACTTGGATTATTAGCCCCGCGTCGAACTGTTGCCAATTGGGTTGTGTCAAGGAGTAGACATTGAGCTCCCCCTGAGATATCACCTAGCCTCGTACATATCGGCTCAAGACCCAGAATGTGATGGTTGAGAGCCGGGCTGAAGGATACGGATTCGCTGGACGCCTCAGCTCCCTTGGCAGCTTTTGAGCTGAGATTCGCCTGCTTGTATCCATCGATGGGGTCAGCCAAGGAAGCAAACCGAACCAGAGCTGTAAAAAGTGGTGCAAGGGGCGAAGGATGGCGATGGGGGGTTCAAACTGGATGGAGCTGAGCTCATATGTGCCTGACATGGGTAATGTCCCCGTCCATGGAAATTCGCACAACACAAGGGACTGCGAGATAATCTATTGCTTTGAATAAAGTGTATACTTGTACAGCTGAGACGGCGATGGCGGACTCGAATGTGGCAAACACGCACATATCCGGGCCTCTTCGTGAAAGGTAACGATTCTACGATAGCCGTGTCTCGTGAGTGGCGATTTAAGAGCAAGCTGAACAACCACTTCACCGGCCAAGCAGTCGATACGAAGTATCCAAACCTCGTCAGGATCAAAAGTGGCCATTTGACCCCTTCCCACAGGAGATGAGAGCCTCTTGTATATATCAACTCTTTCCCGGTCACTCTCGAGTGCCGTCGAATAATGCGCAGCCTCATACTCCTCCGCAACAGCTTGAACAAATGCAGTATCATGGCGCCTAAGCTTGTCCCTGACTACGAGGTCAAGATTCTGGTCAGGCCCTCGGAAGTGCTGACCTCAAATAACAAGCTCGACAGCGCCATCGTAACAGAGTTTCATGTCGAGTCGAGCACCAAGAAGATGAACATCCAATTTCTCGACACAAAGGAACGAGACCTCTATACCAGTGGCTGGAATCTTCGCATTCGCAAAGAAGAAGGAGAAGAGGACTTTGAGTTGACGTACAAGAAGCGCTATGCAATTGACGAGGGAGATGCGAGAATCGCGGGAGGTAGCATCGACATGGCACTGGAGACGGCTCTGCAGGAGGGGTTCGACACCACAACAGTGTACAAAGCCCAGGTTGAAGTAGGATACCAGAAGCAGACTCTCTCCGTCAGCTCCAACGTGAAGGTTTCCGCCAAGGATTTCGACGGAATGGAGCTGCCACGTGTGGACGACTCGCGCATATTCCTCAGCACCAACGCGCCCAGCAAATTCAGGGACTGGGTGAGAGACAGCTGGGGTACGGATCATGTCCATAATTCCATCATTTATGGCCCGGTACACGCAAAGAGGTTCAAAGGCAGATGGGACGGATCCAAGCTCTTCATTGAAGTATGGCCAATTCGAAAGAGCGAAACGGACGCGACACTTGAACCAATTGTCGAGGTGTCTTTCAAGACGTCTGATGTCAAAAAAGCTCTGGAGGGACGAGCCAAGATTCTGGAACTTTTCCAGGAGAAAGGCTGGCTCCTCCCTGAAGATTCCTTAAAGACGAAGTTGATTATGGAGCGGTATGGTTGCTCCAGCATTTAGTTCTCCAACGATTCTCACCAGATGATCGATGTATCACCACCTTGACCACCGTGGCCAAGCCTGCGGCATAGCTGAATGTGTAGTAGTGGATCACAAATCAAGCAGATTTCCAGATATCATGGCATGTACAAGTAAGCTTCGAAGCGGTACGGGTCAGTATGGTGGGCGGGCCAGAGTAAAGGAGGAAGATTTCGAGTGGGTCAACCTTGTTGGGTTGGTTTCTGCAACAGACAATATCATGGGGAGGCCCTAAAAGATCCAGCGGGCACGATCAGCCTGATCAGCCCATTCTTGAATGTTGGTCCCTCGCAACTTCTGTCTCCTATGCTGTCAGAGAGACTCTTCATCGTCTGGTCCTGACAAACTGAATTCGTTTCTGGGCTGTCTAGTTGAACGCCTTTTCAGGTTAGACACTGATCAAAAAGTCGTTGCTGACGGCAAATGTAGCCAGCACATACTTGTATGCCATACCGTGAGTTTCGCAGGCGGGTGAACCCTCAGCGAGGCTACCGTCACTGACGGTGAGAAGCATCGCGCCATCTCATTCGGAGTTGTCCTGATAGGCACTGGTCATCTGGTCGATCGGGAATCTTTGGAGCTCGCCCCGTCCGTGGGTACCGTCCACCACATCAACTCCGCACTGTTGCCAGTAAGGCTGAGCTTATCTCCCTGACAGTCCCGTCTGACAGCCTCGCACATGAGTTGCTCAATGGTCAAGAGTGCTTGTGGATCTTCTGATGGGACGTACTTAGACCTCGTACTCGGAAAATGTACAAGTAGGACAAGTAGGACAGGTATATTGTGATTGTCAGAGGTGGTCCCTGTTGGGTCTGGGATTGTCTCGCCGTCATTTTTGCAATGTAACCGGCCCACTGGACGCCCGAAGCTAAGGGCTAGCATGCGTGAGGAGGTGGTCGAGACCTGGGTAAGAGACGGTCACAATCGCCCCCGCTGGAAGATTTGCCCCCACTTGGGGTGGTGTGAGGGCCGAGTGATATCCATACTTGTACACTTTCCCCGGGTCACGCGTGAAGATGCCGGTTCTAGATCTGTTAGCGGCCCATTTTGCTTGTATGTACTGTGATGGCGCTTAGTTGTAGTCGTCAATCGGGGCATGCCGTGCGCCGCCATGGTCCTTCCAAGGCAGGTTCGCTTGAAAAGTGCCAAGGTGCCTAATCGTGCCGGGCTAATAAACCTGAATAGGCCAGGAAACTCGCTTCACGGTTGAACATGCCAGATGAGGTACACGGTGCGACGCTTCGCAAGTGGTGTATCGTGTAAGCTGTGCATAACTGTTACAAAAAACCTCGTTTGGCCTGCATGGGAGTTCTTGATGGTTGCATTGCTGACAGCCATACTGTAGCTGATCGTGGGGATCTGTCCTATTGGAGATGGTCAAGGAGGGTGCTCTTCCCCCAATCTCCACGCCTCCAAGTAGGTCTACGAGTGCTTGTATAAGTTGCTAACAGTGCATCTACACCATGGCGGTGGATAAAGAAGATGACCACTCACCCCCATGTATTGTCACTGCTGCGGCCGAGGCAGCGGAGTCTTTGTTGTCAACTCATGAAGGATTCCAAGGCTGTCCCAGGTGAAGCGAAGAGTCACACTCGTCTCGATGCACCTCGATGGGCGGGCGCAACTGGGAAACACTGTTTACCCGATTTATGTATCTTGACGGAATGACTCCCTGATATCGCTCGGAAGAATGTCGCCTTGTCGTGTCAAATGCAAAGGTAGAACCGGCCTGATTCTCCACTCTCCCTCACCACTGGATGTATGTGCAGTTAACCTTTTGGGTTGGTTTATGTCTTTTCCAACATCTCTCGACTGTCAAATGCCCTCCGTCTGGTCGTGGACCGGCTATAGTCGTCCACGGTAGAGGCGCCCACAGAATTGAGGCTCAGGAAACTGTTCACAAGTGCTGGGGTGTGATTGAGCAACGCAGGTGCGCTTGTTGCGACTCTGAAGGAGTGGTGAGGAAATTGTTGTGGTGCGCCTGCGATGCCCTAAATCTTAGCTTCTTGTCATTTTGCTTATCTGGCTTGTCGTTGTCTTGCCGTTTTCTTCACCATATCAAGCTTTCTTGACGTCGTTCCCGTTATCTCTGCGTTCTGCTCTGTATCACAGATCGGCAACTTGCGTCATGAAGAAGCAGTTGCAAGAGTTACAAGATTGCACATCTGAAAGTGTCAGTCCACCTGTTCGCTAGTCAGGCAAGCGTATCCGATGGCTGGTTTACCAGTCACTGCATTGCTGGTTGTGACTTTTCTTGGTGATCGCACCTATCATTAGTCTCCCTCAGAATGTCTTTCCCTTCTCGGACATCATCGTTGCCCTTTATCAATTTCTAGGAGAGGCTATGACGATACTGTGAGGGTCGATCTGCGGTCAGAGTTTCTGTGCAGCGTAAGCTTCATCGGACGGTAGGATCGTCATCATCTTGTTCCTCATGGTGCCTTTTGGGAGAACTACCACCAACTTCGGCCGGACCCATTCCGACTCCGATGAATGCGTTGGTGTTGTTCGTTTGACGGGACGAGGTTGGTCAACCAACCCCTCACGGTGCATTATTGATCAAAGTTCCTCTTTGTGGGCCCTCGCTCAATTTAAACCACGCGGACCGCATAGAAGGCATGGAAGCTCTTGACAGAGGCTTGGCACCCCCCTCGCCACTGCAACATCCTTATCTTTGACAATCCACTTTGAGCCACTGCGAGCCACTCCGAGCTACTTTGTGCCACCTGGGGCAATTTTTCCAGCAATCCCAGAACTCGCTCCGTCCGGCCAATCACAGTGCGCATAACACACGAGCAGGCGTCGATGGCTTCGAGGGAAGACCGACTGGTCATACGGATCATGCCCGGGCAAGGGATCGACGTCGAATCCTGCAACACGGTGGGTGACTGGCCATTTCGTTGCGCCTGGACCATTGGTGGTTGGCGGTGTGTTTGGGTGCCAGCGGTTGGTCGCCATCACGAAACTGCATATCTAGACCTGCGGGAAAAAACCTCAATTAGGTCTCGTGGTGTCATAGAAAGGTTCATCGAAGCTCACATGAGAGATACGCCACATCGGTTGATGCAAGCGATTGCTTCTGTCGTCTTCCCCCACCCAGGAATGCCCTACTCTCCGCAAAGCCGAGGCAGGGTTCGTTAAATGAGGGCGCGCCGGAACGATGTCACCTTATCGTGGCGATCACCAATGGTCTGTGTGGACAGTGCAAGGATCCAACCCACCCGAACCACTCTGAATGCGACCACCGTAGGACTCCTATCTATGATTTGCCGTACCTGCTTGTCGCTAATGGTTTTAGAGCTTAAGCGTGCTTGTGGTGCTTGCCTGATACCTGTGAAGCTTGGTTGCTTTATAACCAGGGTCACCGCGGTCGTCCTCTGATCGTGTTCTTGTTTCCTCTCATTCTGCTCTCTGGTCAATCGCCAAGATGAGTTCCGATAACAAATCCCATACTCTCAACGAGAAATATGCCACTGACAATGGAGCCCATGAGCCGGGTAGCCTCGCGGCTCATGTCAGGGGTCGACAATTCAGCGTCGACCCAGAAGATCAGACTATGGTGCAGGGCGACCAGTACGCGCTGCACCGTGATCTCAAGGGCCGACACATGCAAATGATCGCCATGTAAGTATAGGACCCGAGCGCTTCAGATGCAGATACTGACTCGCCTTTCTTATAGTGGTGGTGCTATTGGTGCCGGTCTCTTCATTGGTTCTGGTGGTGCCTTTCAGACTGGTGGACCTGCTTCTGTACTTCTCGGTTTCATGATCATCGGTAAGTCGTCCACTACACAGGAAATGCAAAGTGGTGGCTAACAAGCTCTTAGGTTTCATGGTGTATGTGTCTCCGACGCCATTTACGGCATTGATCTCTGGCTCACACTGTCCGTTTTAGCTACCTTATGATGCAGGCTCTTGCCGAGATGTCCGTTATGTATCCGATCAACGGCGCTTTCACAATGTACATCTGCCGCTTCGTTGATCCCTCATTCGGGTTTGCGTGCGGCTGGGAGTACGCCATCAGTTGGTTGACTGTTCTTCCCTTCGAAGTATCTGCCGCCTGTAATATTATCCACTACTGGCCTGGATCAGAGGGTATCAACAACAGCGCTTGGATCGTTCCATTGCTCGTGGCCTTGGTTGCTATCCAATTCTTTGGCGTGAGGGGATATGGCGAGGTACGCTCATTCCAAAGTTGTGCGACTTTGTGCTGATTGAACCAAGGTCGAATTTGCCCTCAGTATTCTCAAGATCATTGCTTGCATAGGGTTTATGATTCTTGGAATAATAATCGACTGCGGCGGTGTCCCAACAGATGACAGAGGCTACATTGGTGCAAGATACTGGTAAGTTGCCACTTTGTGATGGCTCTCGGCAGCGAGGCTGATATTTGAAACAGGCATCACCCTTATGAGGCATTTCTCAATGGCTTCCACGGCTTCTGCAGTGTCTTTGTCACCGCAGCTTTCGCCTACACAGGGACTGAGCTAACTGGACTGGCTGCTGCGGAAACGGCCAACCCCAAAAAGGAGATTCCACGGGCCTCCAAACAGGTTGTGTGGCGAATCTTCATCTTCTACATCGTCAACCTCTTCCTCGTTGGTTTGATCGTACCGGAGAACAGCCCCTTGTATAGTGGTGAAGGCTCCACTTCGCGACATTCGCCTTTTGTCATTGCAATTCAGCTGGCTGGCATCAAAGTCCTCCCGTCCATCTTCAACGCTGTCATCTTGATTGCAGTCATGAGTGTTGCCAACTCTTGCACGTTCGGCTCGACTCGAACAATTCAGGCCCTTGCTGCTAATGGTACGTGGGTACTCTCGTACTTTCTCTATCACGCTAAATCTATATACAGGAATGGGACCGAAGATTCTGGCCTACGTGGACAAGAAGGGCCGACCCGTGGCCGTTGTCATTCTCCAGCTACTCTTCGGCTGTCTGGCATTCATTAATCTGGCAGACAACGGCGGCACCATCTTCAATTGGCTTCTGTCATTGTCGGGTTTGTCAATTCTCTTCATCTACGGCGGTATTGCCCTGGCTCATATTCGCTTCCGTGCGGCATGGTGAGCACCCGAACCCAGAGCTGGCCCGTGCCTGAGTCACTAACCATTTGCAGGAAAGCACAGGGACATTCCTTGGACGAGCTGCCATTCCGAGCCGCCTTCGGAGTCTGGGGTTCGTGGGTGTGCTTGTTCATCAACGTGATCAGCCTTATTGCCCAGTTTTACGTTGCGCTCTATCCCATCGGTGGTCCTTACCTGGACGCCGACACTTTTTTCCAGCTCTACCTCGCTGGCCCTCTCCTCATCTTCTTGTACCTGTGCTGGAAGGTGTATAGCTGGTTTTACCGACCACAAGACCGTCCATTGTTCATCAGAGCGAAGGACATTGATATCTACACGGGTATGCGCGACACTCAAGTCGATATCAGTGGCCCAAATGTCCCAGATGAGCAGAGACGCGCCAGCATCATGGAGCTGCAAGAGGAAAAGAAGAAGAGAGGTGTCAAGGACTGGGTTTTGGCTTTCCTCAGGAACATCTTCTAAAATGTCGAGAGCAAGATCACTCATCCTTTGCATACGAGGCGAATTTGGTCACTTGTAAATGAGCACAGACAGAGGAAGGGGGTGGCGATGGGAATGCAGTGGATAAGGAGACGTTAATTCAAACACGAAATCAAACAATTTCAGACTGTATGATAGGGGGACTTCGTTTGTCACTCTGGACCCGCTACTTTCAAGATCGCCTTCCCTACCGCCCTGTTACTCTCGAGCATATCAACAAAGGCCTGTGCAGCATTCTCGATCCCTTCGGTGATATGTTCTATGCTTCGTAGCTTGCCCTCGCTCAGCCACTACGAAAAGCAAATGTCAGGTCTCTGTCACTGTCCTCAATTTATTCGGGGCAACCACTGGACTTCTTACCTGGAGCATCTTCTCGTCCCTTTGCTGCCGCCACTTGGGCCCGAACCGTGGATCTGTGACGACAAAGCCTTCCATCCTAAGTCGCTTCGCGATAACGTTCATAAGGCCCTTCACACCATGCTGCTCGGCAAGAGGTTTGTTATACTGAGAGATCATGCCACATTCAACTAGAAAACGACAATTAGTCGGAAAAGGGCCAATAGGACAATGGCGAAACCCACTGATTCTCCCAAAATTGTTCATGGCGCCAAGAGCTGCTTCTAGCTGCTCGCCTCCGACATTGTCGTAGTAAATGTCGATGCCCTGGGGTGCCAGCCTTCGCAGAGCATCGGCCGTACTCTCCTTCTTGTAATTGAAGCCATCATCGAAGCCTACCTCCTTGATCAGATTTAGCTTTGCATCGTCGCCGACACTACCAATAACAGCCAAGCCCTCTATCTTTGCAATCTGACCGACGAACAAACCGACAGCGCCAGCGGCGGAGGAGACGAAGATGGTTTCCCCCCGTTTCGGGGCCCCGAGCTCATAGAGACTCGAGTACGCCGTGAGACCGGTCGAGCCCAGTAGACTGAGCCAGTTGGATAGTGGCGCGTTGGGAATTGGGTGAGCTTTGCGGACAAGGTCGCGCGAGAGGAGTTCCTCGGTAATGACACTATACTCGGCAACTGGAAATTGACCGTATACGATGTCTCCCTTGACGTACTTGTCGTTGTTGGATTTGATGACCTGGATCAGCGCGTAGGCAATCATGGGCTCTCCAATGGTGTACGCAGCAGAATATGATGTCGTCTCTGCAGGGCGCATCCGCCCTCTCATGTAAGGGTCGAGGCTGACATAGAGTGTCTTGCCGGTTACCCCTCCCCGAGGCGGATCGGTTGTGAGATCGAATTCCCGATCCTCAATACCCAGGTGCACATTTGGAATCGGTGCATGGGTTGGCACACTTCTGAAGATCAAGCTCTTGTTTTGAACCATAATGGGAGACTGTCGTAGTTGCGTTTTGAGCGAGGTTCACAATATTCTCGAGGCAGGATAAGTCTGGGGAATCCTGGGGTGCTAGTCTAGTGAGCGACCGGCTACGCGAATTGAGATCCGCCCGTCATCTTATTGGTAAGCGAAAATGTTCCAGTGGTTTGGCCAGCATCGTTCAGTAATCGAGAAACAATTGACGGGTAACTTGGAGAGGGAGGTATTTGCATCGTAGAGAACGCTTAGCGGCATACTAGAAATCGCGTTTGTTGTTTGGCCTACTCGTATTGAGCCCATTCACTTGAAGTTATAAAATCTAGTCATTCAAGCCCCCTCGTCCGATGAAGTCTCGGAACCAAGGCAGGTAATGGGTGTAGCCCCAGTCCATAATCGTTACTATCATGCCTAGTACCGGTCGCAGGGACTTCGGTTCATCCCTGTCGACGAAGAAGGTCTTTTGATTGAGGAAGTAAATCCTGTTCTCTGTCGAGTCCATAACCGCAACGGACAGATGCACTTTGTCTTTTTCCCAAATCCACAGAGGCTGCGGTGCCAGTTTCGGTGTGATTGTTTCATTGCGTCTTGCTTGTCTATATATCCTCTCCTGCTTCCGAAAGCCGGCAGCACACCAAACCTTAAGCTGAGATTCTGCGGTGGCTGGGTCCGACTCTGCCTTGATCTCGACGTGACAGAAGAGGGCCCGGTCGTTGAGCATCCAGTGATCACTTTGCGACACGGTATAGTGCTCAAGTGACTGTTGGATCTCAAGGAATGTATCGGTGTCTGCGACTTCCAGGCCCAGGGAATAATCTACCCGTTTCTTGTATGGGCCACTGAGAAGGGTGGTAGGGGTAACATCGATCGATTTGCTACAGAGTGTTAGCGATCAATTTAGCTCAACATGTTATACATACACATTGACAATATCAACGTATTCCCGCCAGTTTGACAACTTTCTGGCCAATTTTAATATTGGCAGTACCACCCAATCGCTCCACGAATCTTCATTGGCATTTCTGCGAAGACATCGTTTCAGTTCAGCATGAATATTTCTTAAGTCTTCCTCTTTCAGTGATTTTTGCCAGGCATCGTCGGTTTTAGCAATGGCTGTGAACAGGTTCTCGAGCAAAGGCACCTCAGTGGATCTTCCGGTAACCCTCCACCTTGCGACCTCGTCAACATCGAGAACTCGAAGAATGGGACCCGAGAACTGTATGGCAAGCGTGCGACGACGTTTCGAAGGACTTGAGCTGCGAGAGCTTGTCGCTTGTGATGAATGTGAGGACTGTGCAGTGAGATCGGGCGCAGCCTCCAGGTCAAGCCCACTGAGGCTGCCAGTTAGTAGTGGGCTCTGCAAGCCACCTGGCCGCGTTCTCTTAGCTCGAGGAGTATCCTCATTCTCCATCTGTTGTGATTTTCGCTTCAGGGCAGAGGTGCCGCAAGACGCAGGCTGAAGAGACGCAGGCTCGTGGACCATCTTGGATTTCGATGATTGGTTGACATTATTGAGCCACTCAGTGATTCGTTGTGATGATGAGACTGACATAGCAATACCTCTTGTCGTCCTGCAATGAAAGATCACCCCTCATTAGCATGGGTGTATCTCATCTCCGACGAGCTGTTTATGACTACTGCTGCGACAAGTGTTTGCACTGTGGTTTTGTAACCAGCTGCATCACCTAGGTAACGGCTCCGCGGGACAGACCCCACCACGTGCCGACGGAGGCTTATGTAATTACTTGCCACGGCCACTAGCCACGCACTAGCCACCCACCGGCTACGGCACCCACCTAGTGACAAACCTATTTCAACACGTGACACTCTTAGCTGGCTAGCGTCTTCGCAGCTTTATGGTGTATGTGTCAGCAATTCCCGACACTGAAGCGTGCGAGAAGAAACTCCGCTAGGAGTGGAATGAGAGTATCGAAACAAGTCCACGGATCAAGCTCCTTGGGCTCGTTCGCATAGATAACGGTCTGTAGAAAGAGATAAAAGGGGCAGGTGAGATTTTCACCAACAATAGCATGTCCATAGACTCCCACATGGCCACTGGTGCCCGACAAATTCTTCTCCTCTTGTGAGAACTGCAAGAGCTTAGAGTATTTAATGGGTCGAGAAGACCTTCTAGGAAGTAGCACCAGACCTTACGTACCATCAATGGCATGCTTCTAACTTCAGCCTCGAGCATCCTCAGGTACCTTGGCATCGAACCCGTTGAGGATCACGCTGACATAGCTATAAAATCCCGTATAATGGATGACGGCTGCTGCGCCGTCCTTGCCCAACACCTGCACCGCCTTGTCGTAAATCGTTTGGTCGAGAGGCCCCGGCTTGCCCAGAGCGGTCGCCAGCTCGAAAACGGTTTTCCCTTCATCTGTCAACGTGCCGGGACATCTGCCTGTGTTGATCTCTTGTAATTCGGCCTCGGTGATCCCGGCCCGTTGAGTGGCGATGATATGGTGCGCGTACTTTTCATAGGCGGCCTGCGTGCGCGACCCCACCACCGCAATCGCAACTTCGCGGCCATACAGCGACAGGCCGGGGATCGTCTGCAGGGCTCTGACGATGGCCTGGAACGGCCGCGCCACTTCAGGATGATGGAGCAGGATTCCGTATGGTCCAATCAGGGTGCCGTCGTCGAGAATCAGCCGCGGCGACCGCGACGGGGAGTGGTAACGCGCTTGGATGGATTGGGTGAAGTCGTCGTGCAGTGATCTTTGATCCTCGGTGAGGTCCGAGGTTGGAATCAGGCCCAAGCGGTTCGACATGGTGGTTTCAACAAGCGGGGGACGATTCTGAGCCAAACGTCGCCGAGAAAAGAGGTAGAGGCGCAGGAGATTAGCGGCGATGACGGCTTTATCATACAACTCAAGTTCTTAAAAGAGGGTAAGAGTAAGCTTCGTAACATAGCGCGAGGAGGCCAATGACTTCAGCCGCACGGCGAATGATCGTCGGTTAATCCTCGCTTCGACTGTCTCATGATGTAGCGGATGGGATGGGGCCCCAGAGAAAGCATCGAGGAGGCTGTGGAGTGCTAAGGAGCCAGCACCAAAGATTGGGGTTGGGGTTGCTTGGTGCCGGTTAGCGAGGCTGCGCGGGCGCCGAGCTCCATGAGGTTGAAATCCCGGGCCTCCGATTGGGTGGTCGGACGTCGACATCCTCGGGGCTACACAAATTGTGTCTTTCCGATTCCACCGTGACCATTACACCACGACAGCCGAGGATGAGCGGAAATTGATATAATCAGGCTCAATATACGATGTGACACTCGGCTGAGGAAGCTTCAGAACGAGAATCGCCAACGTGACCCCGACAGATACGACAAGATGGCTCCCGTGACGGAAGTGGCTTTCCTCCCCCTTCGGCCAAGCGTCGACATCAATGACACCTCCACGTCTGAAGGCAAAGTCATGGCAAACATGGTCGAGGTCGGCAAGCACGCGCCCGGTGTCCAGAAGAACTATTGGGGCATAGAAGAGGAGAATGCGGCGCACGTTCACTTAATGCTAGGTAAGTACTTTAAGCACCTGGGCTGCCTGTCGACAACATATTTGCGTTGCGTTGCGAATTCACTACCTCCCTACCCTATCGAGATCCTTCTCAAATTGGCTGAACTGACGATTGGATTGCCGCCGGTGGTGGTGGTGGTGGTGGTGGTGAATAGATTGGGACTCTCTCGAAGCCCACAAAGCCTACCAAGCGCGCCCAGAGTACCCTGAGTTCCTGGCGGCCGCGCGGTCGATGGTGAACCCTGAGTCCACGTCGGAGGCGTTCCACGTATCGTTTACTCCCCATCCACCGACCCCGGCTCTGCAGGCACCCGTCACAGAGATCCTTCGCGCCTATTACCCCGTCGACCAGGTGAGCACGGAGGGCGTGGCATTCGAGGCCGATCTACTCAGATTATTGGGCGCCCTGCGCGCACACGGCGTGCCCGGCTTCTCGGGCGAAATCTCCTCGGGCTGGTCGCTCGAAGAGGTCGATTACGAGAGTACCCCGAGCAAGGTCTTCGTGGCGTATATTGGCTGGGACAGTGTGCAAGCGCACGTCGATGCGACCAAGTCGGAGATCTACCAGGCAAACCGGTTGAGTCGCTTGCCCAAGGCTATCAAGGTCGCGCACGTCAAGGTCAAGTCGCCATAGTGTACTGGACCGAACCGGACCGTAATGTGGGTGTGTCTGCGTGTGTCTGCAAATTTTGGGTATAGCATACAGAAACTATATACTCTTTCTGTGTCCATGTATACAAACCCAGACCCGACTCTCTCTTTCTGTGTATCAGGCAGACCTTGATCTCTTATGCGAGTTCCCGATTATCCTGGATTCAGCGCTACTACTGCTTCAAATTTGCTCAACTGTTACCCCTGTATCTCTAACCCTGTCATCTCAAATGCTACTACACCAACTACCGCTGGAACTCTCCCATATTCTCATACTCGTAGTTGGTGCTCTGGGTGGACAACGTGCCAATGCTCGAAAACGTCTTCGGTGCCGTTGTAACATGTACACCGTTTGATCCGTCGTCACCAGTCCCAGCCTTAGTCTTGGGCTCGACATGGCCAGTGATCGTCCGTAGGATCTTGGTGGCATCCTCCTGACTAGGAGTCGTGTCCCCTCTCCATGCCACGTGTCCATCTGGTCTTACAAGGACGAAATCCCGCTCCCACAGCACCCTGGCATGGTCTTCTCCTTGGAGCTGCACACGTTTCAACGGCAATCCGATGGCGGCGGCTGCGTCAACAAAGGCGTTGCCTGTGTTTTGTTCGCCAGACGGGGATGAAGAGGGGCTTGAAAAGTCGACCAGAGTGAACCACGTGCCGTAGAGGTCGTATATCGGTGAAGTGCCGTCCTTGAGGAACACGTGAGGAGCACGACTACCCGGATATGTGTTCGGAGTGTACCTCGAGGGAACCCACTCCGGCAGCGGCTCTCGTGCGTCGACGATCAGAATCCCTGATTTGTAAATCTGGCCCATTTCGATGCCGAAGTCCTTATTCTCCCCGTCGTGCTCTTGATAGTGCTGATGAACAGCGTCGCGCACGGCTCGATTCGATTCTGCGTCCAGCTCAGACAGACACCCACGTGCTCCCAGCAGCTCAGCAGCTTTACCATGCACCTCATTGTGAACTCCAGAGCGCTCAATCGAAGTCAGGGCAATTGGTCGACGCTCTTCCTCGTATGAGGATAGCAGCGCTGGCCCGCCCCACTGTTTGGTTGTCGCTGCCAACTTCCAGCCCAGGTCGAAGGCGTCTCCCAGTCCCATGTTCATGCCGTAGCCCCCGGTCGGAATGTTCTGATGAGCTGCGTCGCCAGCCAGGAAGATACGTCCCTTGGGGCTTCTAAATGAGCGAGCAATTGCAATGCTCGGTCTATAGGTCGACCTGACTAGGACCTCGTCGATGGTGATGGGATACGGCGCGTTCCATCCGCCAAGGACCTGGTACACGGCATCATGCGAATCAATCGTCTCGTGGTCCTGTCCGATGGGGATATGAAGGTGGGTTGTCCACGTGTCTTTCTCGTCTTGCGCGATGATGGCCCCACGAAAGCGACCCTCGTCGAGGAAAAAGATGTGCCAGAACAGACCCTGGCGATGGAGGTGGGTCAGGTCACGAGACTTGAAATGGATCAAAAGGGTGTACGTCGGCCTGTATCAGTAATAGCAGTCAACAAATGAGAGACAATCAACAATCGATGAATGGATGAACCTGGGGAGGGAATTTGGGAGAAGGGGGGGAGGGGGGAAGGGGGACGAGAGCATACACTGGTCCGCCATCTAGGGGGATTTGAAGACCACGCCGAATTCTGCTGGATGCACCATCGCACGCTGCCACAAACTTGGATGAGATATACGATGTCCGGCCTTCTGCGAGGTTGGTTGCAGTGGTCACGACACCGTCATCGCTCTCCTCGGTCGCCTCCACCTTCCAGCCAAACCTCATTTCGATCAACGGATCCTTGTCGCACACACCCTTGAGCCAAGCTTCAAACACTGCTTGAGAAAGGCGTTGGTAGGGTTCCAATGGCAGACTGCCGTCGTTTGAGGCGGCAATGATCTTGCGATACTCGTTGACGCTGGGATGAGGCCATTCGGAGATCGGTTCTGGTTCGTGCAACGATTTGGATATCTTGACACTGCTTGGGAACTCGGGCGGTACACCTTGTGAAAAATCAAGTTTAGTGAGAAACGCCTTAGTGAGTGTTTCGAGTTGGAAGTTGCCAGTTTTCGCACCTTGTTTGCGCAGTTGGTTTGCGAGCCCGATTTTGCGAAACAGTTCCATCGATCTCGCGTTGGTCAAATCCATTTTCGGCCATCTCGAGTAGCATTTTATTTTAGCAAAAGAAGTAGAAGTACAAAAATCATGCATGGGACTATTGGCGGCTCACCTTGTGGTCGTTGCGTTGCGTTCCAGGACGAGGGATTTAATGCCATAGAAGCTCAGTACTTTCGCCAACACCAATCCCACGGGTCCGCCTCCAGCGATAAGGACACGGTCATCCTCGAGCACTTCCGTACGTGCTTCAAGTTGATTGCCATTCACGTGCCCGTTCTGATGAGGTTCTGCTGCATGGTCTTGGGAATCAGAGGCATCGATACCAGTGGCAGACGAGATCGCCATGATTTGCAGCTAGATCTACCCTTTCCTAATACCGGTGGACTGAGTAGACCGACAGAAGAGAATAGATGTAAGATTGCTGTATATTCGATCCATTAAATTTTTTCGCCCGGTAAAAGATAAGGCTTCGACTTGAAGGGCGATCGCATCAATCTAGTCCGGTTCCAAGGGTGTTGCTACCGGGCCGAGACCCCTCGACTCCTGCGCCGCTCCAGACAGCACATGCCTCCCGAGAGGGGCGGCCAATATAGAATCCGCAGGCCCCTGTGTTTTGTGGTATGATAATAGAATATGATCACTAGAACACGAGAGGGACTCTTACGGTCGTTGTTCCCGCAGACTTCTGTGAAATGTCTCTAATTCAATTTCCAGAGAATTTCCACTCCTTGCGAGATCAAACCGTCGTCATTACAGGTAGGAAGGACCGTTGCTTGCCCGAGATATTCCATCTGACACATAAAATACCTACACATATGAGCCTTTCGGCCATCTGCTAACGCAAAATCATAGGCGGAGCAAGTGGAATTGGAGAAGCCTTTGTTCGACTTGCCTGTGAGAACGGAGCACACGTCGTCTTTGGAGACCTACAAGACGAGCTGGGCGGCAAGGTAGCTCTGGAGACTGGGGCGACATTCGTCAAGACCGATGTTTCCAAATACAAGGAGCTGCTGCGACTGTTTGACGAAGCGTACAAGAAGCATGGAGCTGTGGATCATGCCATTGCCAATGCGGGCATATATGAGCCCAAGGGCCTGTTCGACCCGTCGACAGATCTACAGAGCCTCGACCAGGTTCGTTGGTTCGTCCTCGACGCGAACTCAAGCCTCTCTCTCCTCCCTCGTATTTGCCGGGCTCACAAACTGCACAGGAGCCACCCACTAGCATCGTGGACGTGAACTTGCGCGGTGTGTTATTCTTTGCCCACATCGCAGCAGTCTACCTGCGGCAAGGCGATTCTGCGCATCGAAACAAGTCATTGACCTTGGTTTCGTCGACGGCTGGAATCTTATGTCCAGCTGAGACGCCTTTGTACAACGTACGTTTGCCCGCCCAATACATACATACAAGGGATGTTGTCTGTTGACCCCTTAAAATTAGACCACAAAGTCCGGTGTGTTGGGACTGTCACGCAGCCTAGCGGGCTCTCTCGCGACTACACACGGGATCCGTGTCAATGGGATGTGCCCATCTGTCACCGCCACCCCTTTGTCCGCGCTGCACGTTCTCCCTGTCTTTGAGTCTCTTCAGCTCCCTGTCAACTCATCACACGACGTGGCAAAGGTCCTGGCTGGATTGTGTATTGGTGAGGAGTGGAATGGTAAGATCCTGTACGTCGAAGGAGGGAAAGCCTGGGACATCGAGGAGGGACTGACTCGCACGAGACCCGAATGGCTCGGCGCTTCTGTTCTCAAGACGCTCGACAAGATCACTGAGTACCGAGCGCAAGCTAGAGATACAAAGTAAAAAGTAAAAATGGCAAGTTTGTGTTTGGAACGGCCCCTGCTGGATTGGGACCATCACCTCATCAGAAGAATCCGGGAGCTTAGTGAAGGTTCGGCTAGCCACGAGTGGACATTCAGTTTGCACCTGAAAGAACCAAGTGGCAAAAAGTCTCCTACAGTGAAACACCTCCTCGAGCACCCTCGAATCAATCTGCAAAAAATGAAAAAACGCAAAGAGCCGGGGGGTTGAGTCTCCGGGGTCCTCAGCCACTCCGGCCCACAAGCTCCCGGAAGCCGGAGTGGCTGACCTCCGACTCTTCCGAGCCCTCCGAGCCCCGAGTTCCTCTCCAGCTTCGCAACATGCACGGGTCTAAGTCGGTTGAGACAACCGAATTATTCGAGTGCGGGTCTCTGGCAACTGAACCGTGCAGGAAGGCAAGCAACAGCCTACCTAGTGCCCACGGGTACGTGCAGTTCCGAGTAGGAGTGGGTATATGTATATTGGCAAAGTCATCAAGTGGCAGTGGAAGGATGTTGGTCCTTAATTGACCGCAGACCAGACCACGGGAAATCTTCCGCAGCAAATACCGGACATTGACAACGCGAACCACGAGGCCAGAACGCAAGGATGATTCGCCTATGCCCTCTCGAAATTTGAGGCTTATTCGACCTTCCTACATAGTCATATGACAACCATTACAAGATTGAACTTTCTGGGGGGGGAGGATATCGAACACAAGACTTGAATGATCTACCTACTACTTGCTGATGGAAAAGTCGATCGAGCCATCCGGCAAAGTGTCCATTGCCATTGACGAGACTTGAGTCAGGGAGGGCAGGAAGCAGACTAAATTTTCCAGGCCTATTTCGTTGACATCAAAATCTCCGAATTCCTGTAAGCAAGAATAGAAAACGGTTAGCATTGAAACCATGACCAAGAAAAAGGCGACTGATGTAGGTGCTCTGTAAAAAGAAAGGAAGAAGCTTACCTCGTCCCATGAACATAGATCCATCCCGTCGTTGCCGTTGGTTTCGAGTCCGGCTGTCAATGCAGGTAGGACTTCACTGCCGCCTCTGTGTGAACCCTGCGCTTTTTCCGTAGCATTCTGAGCAAGTTTTACAATGTCCTTTGTGAAGGGAAAGCGCTTGGTCGATGTCGTAGCGTAGTCTAAGTATCCAAAGTACCCGGCAGCCATTTGCAGTAGACCCAGATCGGAAGGGATAGAGGACCGAGTGGGATATTTGAGAATGTAGACGAACAGATTGATCATGCCTACAATAGGATACAAGAAGAGTTCCCTGCATAGTAGTACATTGTTAGAAAAAAAGGAGGAAGCGCAAGAAAATGGGAGAAGGGGGAAAGGAACTGGTAAAACGACACTCACCACGCTGGAGCTGCCGCGGAAAGATGCAGATATTTCGTGGTCAGTATGATGTTTCGGGCGGCTTCGGCAAGGATTTGTGTGCTTGCGTCGATCTGTGGATTCAGGTCGACATCTGAGCCAGCCTCCAGCCGTGTCAATTCCCAGGGGTAGGCGAACACTGAATGTATTGCTGCCAAACTTCCGTGGTATGCCAGGTGTAGATAAGTGATGTGACTCATCTGTAGGTCTGGAGAAGCCAGGACTGGCTGTGAGCGTCGGAATCGTAAAGTCGCTGGCACTGTGTCGTACCAGGACTTGAGTCTTTGGTGAATTTCGTTGACGGTCTCGATTGTTTTGCTGGGTTTCCGTCGACGAGCTTTTGCCGCGGTCAGTTGATCAATGATGGAAGATGAGATTTGTGCATGGCGGATAACATGGTGGAAGAATTCTGTTTTGATCGAAGCCTGTCCGTCAACGGGTTCAGGAAAGTGGCAGTCAATGTGATCGTCGTTGATCATCTGATGGAATTTGTGAGCCGTATACTCAAACCTCGACCCGGAGGCGAGAGACAAAGGGGGGAGTGGCAGTTGGCCAAGGCGCAAAACATACTGATGGGCGGCAAGCTCGGTATGCAATATGTTTCTCATAGAAGTACATGGTCCAGAACAGCCGGCTTCGAAGGGCTATCTCAGCCGCTGAGAGTTTGGTCGTCGCGGGCGGCTGTAGATGGAGTCCCTTGGACTGAGCCAGACGTACCGTGGTACTGATGAGCATATATTCCAATTTCGGATTGCCCATTCCTTCAACAAAGAGGGACTGCAACGACAGAGTCAATGGTTTTCATCCTTACATCCTTGTGGGCGACACGCACAACCTACCATGGCTAAGAGCGCTTGCACCGCGGAAAGATTCGATCGAAAGTAAACCAGCTCGGTGTGAACTGAGAGAGCATTTTCAAAGTACTGCCAGGATTTCCTTTGCGCCTCCGCCCATGACTCTGGCACTGTCTCTCTATAGGTGGACGCTCTGCAGCCAAATGCATAGACGACATTGCGCAGGGCGTACCATGCTGGATCGTCCCCAGACGCAGAACCCAGAACATGAGCGTTTAGGCGCGCTTCGAAAGACGCTCGATCAACGATATCAAAGGCCGATTCGAAGGCATGGTCGAAATATGCTGAGGAAGCCTTCATTAGCAGTGAGCCAACCAAAGACAACAACGGGGAAAAAGTTCCCACGCACCTGCGGCATAATCTCTGGCACATGCGAGGTCTGGTTCCGGCACTCTCCCACGTTGCATGGACGTTTGCATCTTCAAGTCGCGATATACCGTACTCGTGAGCGATGCGGCACTGTCTGTGAAACCCGAGACGCCAATCTGCTTGGACACCCATTCTGCCGCAGGATTGCTGCATATCGACAGATAGGATCCAGGTCCTGTGGATGTTAGTGGGCGATCGCTGGTATGGAAGGGGGAGATAAGAGACCGTGAAGTTCTTCCACTGGGCTCTAGTAGCAGCATTAGCTTGTGTGGCATATATCCACCCACTCCGAGATCACTAACCGCTGGCTCGTTTCCGTCGTGTACTGACGTTGTGGCATCATGAACTTGAAGTGCCTCTGTGCTACTGGGCGTCTCTTGGAATTCGAGGGGACGGAGGGTCGGATTCGCCTTCCGCGTATCGGGCGGGGTGGCTGAAGGTTGATATGTGTTTGTATAGCTCGAAGCAACAGCGATATGACCATGTGGAGTCAGCGTTGCATCTCTCGCGTCTCTGTCGTCTGAAGTTGAGTTACCAAATGGTATCTGTGAGTGCTGGAAAGGCGATGCAAGATTGCTAGCGAATTGATTCCGGGTCTGGGTCTGGGTCTGAGTCGATATGGATCCCATGCCAGACGGTCGATCAGTGCCTATACATGTACCGCTGCCCAGCAATTGTGTGCGCTCATACTCTGCATCCAGGCTTTGAGGCTCCGAGGACACATTTGCCGTCCAAGTACTGCCACTCTGAGCCTCCGTTGAGGAAGACGAGGAGGGTTGCGTTACAGGCACAACGATGCCAGCCTGGCGTAAAAGGTCTTCCGCCTTCTCGAGTCGATCCTGGAGAAGCCGTTGGACTTCTTTCGCTTCTCGTGGCTTCCTTTGGATCTTCCTGTTGGAGGGAGTAAAATGGCACACCTCACCATGAGACTTGGGAAATCATGAGCCGTTCTAGTTACCCGTCTGAATCCCATTCTGGAGGGATGAGGATGTTTCTTACCTCACAATTTCGACACGGTGCTTGTCCTATACCTGTTAGTCCGGGCGACGGAATAACCAGCAGCCGGGTAGAGATACCAGTACATCTGACCTTCTTCAGCCGACAGTAATCGCATGCCAGCGTAGACTTGGGGACTGCTTCTTTGGCAACTGGCATTGTGCCGAGGCTTTGCCTTTGGCCTTTTACAGAGGAAGATCCAGCGACGAGTGTATGATACCGTCCACGTTGGAAGAGTTGAGAGGGGGGAGGGAGGGCGATATGTTGTTTGGTAGAGCTAACTACCTGCAAAAGAATACTTTACAGATATAGTGGAGTGATTCTGGAATTATTTGGCACATTGGCAGATGGAAGAAGGACTGTGAGGTTGCAACTTGCCACTTAACTGGCGGATGATGGGGGATGGAGGGGCAAGTGGTCCAGACTCATCAGGTGCTGGTAGTGGCACCCACCCAGGTGGTGGGCACCCAGTGGGAGTGGCAACGAGTAGTAATCATGACCTAGGCGTAAGGCTCCCTGGGACTCACTAAGCCCTGGGGCACCTGCACGGGTCTTTACCTGTTAGTTTGGGGTAAGGCACTCGAGGACTGCTGACTAGACCAAGTGTAGCTTGGACATCTACACCTAGGTGACCCTTGAATTACCCCAGAGCGCACGTACTGCACCGCCAAAACGCAGCATGGACTTGCGAAGCCAACACACGCCTAAAGGCACCGGCCCCTTAGTACTTACACCTTCGTACTTAATCCGGAATGTTCCTGGATGCATATCGACTTCATCTTTGCCAATGTATAAAAAGAAGACCTCTTCGGAGCTCGGCTGGATGGCCTCAGCTGGAACTCGCCCCACCGGGTCAAAAATTTCTCTACCAGCTCGAATCGCTGACTGGCTCGGTGCCCCGTGGGGCCCCAAAGTAGACAGCAGCCGGAGGAGGTGTCTTCTCCGAGACTGGACCTTTGAAAGCCTCGAGCATAATTTGATATGGTTCGGGGCCCGGATACCTCTAACGCAGGTCTAGGTCTTTATTGACGCTCCAATATCTCTTCAGGTGATGCCTATCCTCATGCATGCATCTCTGTGGAAACAATCCCTGGCAAACACTCCCCTCAACTTTCAATCATAGCACTCAAGCAACTCCATGATGGAAGAGAAGCTGTCAAAGCAAGCAAGTGAGGTGGGAACAATGGAACAACAGCTCGAAACGACGACCAAGGACAAAGACGGCGAGCATGAGCACAACGTGGTCATCAAGGGCGACGACTCGGATGGGAAACTCGACTGGTCGGTTCGTGCCTTTGTGGCCTACCTCTCGCTCTGTTTCGTCTACACTGGTATGTATCATGTCCCGCATCAGTTAGTGACGAAAACATCATGCTAACGATTCTGCCAGGCTCGCAGATGCCGCTCTACTTCTGTGCTGGGGGTACCAGTTACATTATCGAGGACATCGGAGGCTCAACCACGAGTTCCTGGTTACCTGTGGCATACACCCTTTCAGCAGCAATTCCCATCCCCTTCACCGGCTATCTTCAAGACATCTTCGGCCGGCGCCCCATTGCTTTGGCTTCGACGGTGTTGGTCATAGTTGGCTCGATCATCATGGGCACCGCCCACAGCTTTGGCCAAGCCGTGGTAGCCATGACACTTTGTGGCATTGGCGCAGGTGTCGCCGAACTGTCAGCTCTTGCAGGGTCAGGACGAGCCAATGTCGAAATGCAAGAGACAAAGAAAGCTAACACTCTCATCCAGTATCACCGAAGTTGTTCCCATTCGAGCAAGGGGCTATAGTGTGGCAATCATGACCGCCATAGCAACCCCCCTCGGGCCATATGTTCTATACTGTCAGCTCCTAGCTACAAGGGCTACCTGGAGATGGGGATTCTGGATTGTCTGGTATGCAATAACAGCGTACTCTTCCGCCACTTCCTTCTATGCTAACAACTAGATTCCAGCATATACCAAGGTATCGCACTTGTCGGAGTCGCATTGCTTTACTTTCCGTCCAAGCATTCGAGGCTGGTCGGTTTGCGTCGACGGGACATCATCAGAGACATCGATTACATTGGCGGGCTCTTGTCGTTGGCAGGTTTGACTCTATTGTAAGTTTTTGCCGTGTGTATGCCCTTCATAGATCGGCGACTAACCTTGTCGTGTCTTCCTAGGCTTGTGGCCTTGCAGAATGGCGGCTACCTCCACCCGTGGAAGAGTGCTGCGGTCCTCGCCCCCCTGATCACCGGTATCTTCGGCCTCGTGGCATTCGTGGTATGGGAAATGCGATTCGCAAAGGTCCCAATCGCGCCGCCCGAGCTCTTCCGGCGTCGCGTTATCCGGATGGCCTTTATCATCTCCTTCATCGCCGGCATGAACTTCTATTCCCTTACCAACTTTGCCCCGACGTATTTCAGCAGTGTCTATCCAGCAGACCCGATTCTGGTCGGAGGTAGAGGTGCAGGTATGCCAACAGCTAACATTTTCGGTGCTGTGTTTGGGAACTGGTTCATTTCGCGGTTCCCCAAGTATGCGAGATGGTCGATAGCCGCGTCTTGTATCACAATGAGTAAGTTGACCTTGACCTTTATTGCTAGTTGATAATCAGTCTCGCTTTTACCCTCGTTGATCTCCGCAATAAGAGTAAGCTAACGGTGTTACAAAAGCTGCCTTTATTGGGAGTATAGCGGCTGGCAATCCAACGAATCCAGGATTTGTGACGGCGGCAACCGTCGTCGCTGGATTTGCAGTTGGTGGATTGATTGTGCCGGCGGCAACCATCGCGACCATTGCTTGTCCAGACGATATGATTGCCACCACCGCTGCGCTGACTCTGGCCGTTCGTGCGATTGGCGGATCGATTGGATTTACTATCTACTACAACATCTTTGTTAACAAGCTCAACGCCAAACTTCCAGCAGAGATTGCCACTTATGCGATTCAGGCCGGACTCCCTGTCGACTCAGCGACGGAGTTCGTCACTACCCTCCTGACCAATCCCGCCAGTTTGACCACTGTCAACGGGGTCAACTCGACCATCATCGCTGCTGGGGCTCTAGGCAGCCAATGGGCCTTTGCAGATTCGCTGAAGTACATCTTTTACACCAGCATCCCGTTCGGCGTTTTGGCAATCGTCGCCGCCTTCTTTTTGGGCGACATCGTACCGTACATGACTAACCGAATTGTTGCGACTCTCAATCACTGATGAAGAGAATGAGAACCTAGAACAATGAAGATGCACGAGGTGGGAAAGGAGGACTGTAGTTGGAGTTGTGGAACATGCATGCATTTCTATGGCTATGGCAGAATACCCTGTACCATGCGGCCAGCATGATCAAGAAGACAGACTCCGCATATTCGGCTATAGTCGCACCAGATATGTACAAAGAATACAAGTTACAATAGTGAAGTTTTCATTTTTTTTCATTTTTTTTTTTTTTCAATATCTCTCTAAATGGCATATCATGAAGAAGGTAGTATCGAACTTTCATAACGTAGCCAGCAAACTTAAGGGGAGGTGCTCCGACCCAAACTCAGACCGGGTCGGATGACTACTGGCTCTGAATGTTTTGTCCGCCAACTTCTACCCGGAAACCTTGGCTGCAGCTCGGGCAACGGAGATGTATATAGACTTCTTCGGAACTGAACCTCAGTTGGTACCAGGAATCACGAGACCATATGGACTCACATGATTTCTCGGCCGCGCCAGGTCCTCGTCCTTTAGCTAAGTTCGGAAGGCGGGCTTCGAAATCGGCAGATATAGATACCTCAACTATACCGTGGATCCTAATTTACTACATCTAAAGCTTACTTCTACCCTCTACCCTGAGAAACCCGAAGTAAGATTTCCTCTGTGTTATTCTATTCGAGGAAAGGAAAAAAAAACAAAACAAAGAAAACCCGTCTTCACTCTCATCCAGCTGCTGTGTTGATAGCAACACCATGTCTCCCGCGCAAAAAGCTCCGGCTCAGGCTCAGACCAAATCGCCCGCTCACTTAGTTCACGTCGTGTTCCGGACCAACAAATACAATACGATGGTGCAATACTACAAAGACTTCCTCGGCGCACATGCCAGTTATGAGAACGACACGCTCTCGTTCCTCCGATACGACGACGAACACCACCGGATCGCCATCATCAACACGCCCGACGCGCCCGACAAGGCTCCCGGCTCGATCGGCATGGACCACATCGCCTTTGCATTTGACACCTTGGACGATCTCGCCCTCGCGTATCGTCAGCGCAAGGCTCTCGGTATCCTACCGTCTGTCTGCATCAACCACGGGCCCACGACGAGCATGTACTACACCGACCCGGATGGTAACAGGATCGAAACGCAGGTCGATAATTTTGACTCGGCGGCCGAAGCTAGTGCGTTCATGGCCAGTCCGGAGTTTGCGCAGAATCCTATTGGGACAGACTTTGACCCGGAGGATCTTTGTCGACGACTCGAGAGCAAAGAGGATCATAGAGTGATTAAAAAGCGAGTGGAGATTGGTGCGAGGAGCTTGGGTTGAACCATTTAACCACTTAACTAAGTCCTCTTACTAGGACAGGCCTCCGGCGGAGAAGGGAGGGAGGGAGGTCACTGGTATATGGATTTTTCTTCCGTCAAGTGAGATGATCACATTGCAAGATGTCAATTATTGAGTCTCGACTCCTTTGTTTCCGTCGTTTTACATCGAATACTTGATATTTATGTACTGGCAATAAGGCCTTGTATTTCGGGCGCTGTGTATTCCAACACGGACCCGGAAACCTCCCTTGATGCCTTGGTGACGGCGTATGCATAAGCCCGACCAACAACTTCAGGCTTGGACAGCTCGTACCCTGCAAAAGCCTTTCTGTAATTTGCCGCATCCTCCTGTGACCAACCCTCGTCTGCAGAGAAAACCCGGTAAGTGTTTAATGTTTTGTGTGTGATGTAGAGCCTACAGGCAACCAGGGATACACTAGAGCGAGACGGAGATATTTAGGGGGAGGGGGAGAGGGTTTGACTTACGTGCCCCGTTCATCAGGTCTTGCACCATTTTAGTATCGCATAGGCCCGGTGATAATCCCAGCACGGTCAGCGAGGGCTCTTCCAGGTGGAGCTGCTTGGCTTCGAAGGCCACGGCGGCTTTGGACACACCGTAGAACCCCCAGCCCGCGAAAAGAGCCTGCTGCCCGGCGGCGGAAGTGGTGAAGATGACTTTGCCGTGAGTCTGGCGGAGATGTGGAAGTGCGTGTTTCAACTGAAAAGTCGAGAATTGTTTAGTTGGAGTGAGACAGCAAACTCAAGCCAACCAGGTCAGGAGGAGGGGAGTTGATTTTGTGGTACATTGTAGAGAGTACCAGCTTACCGTGTAGAGGTGCGACATGAGGTTGACCTGGATGGCTTTCGTCCATTTGTCCGGGTCTGAATTATGCAGTCGGTGACACGGTCCAAATACTCCTGCATTGAGGCAGACTCCCGTCAGTCCACCAAACCGGTCGACCGCCCGGCTTACTGCTTCGATTGACGTTTTCTCCTTTAGACAGAGTTGTTATTTTGGGGGTTCTGCCAGACTAGAGCACCTTATTTACCTGAGTGATATCCCCCACAACCACTTCAAGCCGATCAACGTGTGCTGAGCACAACCTCTCCAGATTCCCCTTGGCGATGTCGCTGGCCACTACGCGGCCGTCAAGTTCTGTGAGCAAGGTGCGAACAATTTCGAAGCCGATGCCGCCGGCAGCACCGGTTACCAAGACAATCGGTCCAGTAGCCATGCTCGGAATTTTCACCAGCCCGATTACTGGCAGCTCAAGCAACAAGTCAAGAGCGGATGAAACGTTTCTTGATGTTGTTGACGAGGCCAAGGTTCGAAGAGGTTGTTGACCCACAATTCCGGGCGTCCACCAAAAAGGCGATGAAAAGGTTGTTTCCTCCACGGTCCGCGGTTCATGAAATGGTGACGGAGAAAAACACAATGTTAGTCTCACTAGTTATGTAGGCGAGGAATAGGCCATGGTAGGGGAAGAGAATATACACACAAGGGTTCTTTATACAATATGAAAAAACAGCTGGCGAAATTCGGACAGTCGAGCGTGGTTGTTTGCCTTCTTGTTGGCCGTGTTGGGTGAAGCCCGGAACTACAGCTAGTATCCGGCCCGAAGCTGGAGACAGTTTCAACCGAAGTATAATGCAAGGAAGGGGTTGTGTCTTCATTGATATTGTTACATTGGATACGTCTGTTGCACTACGTTATATATTATACATCTTTTCACCAGCTAGATTTTATATAGAGTGATCTAGGCTAATACATGCACGATGGTAAGAATTGAAGGTCGAACCTTCGTGGTCTCAGGTGGGTGAGTCAAAAAAGATTTCAGCTTCCTGTATTCCATTTTGGATACAGTATGTCCAGTTGTATCTGACACAGGTCTCTCTCAGTGCGTCCGGCCTGGGTCTCGGGGCTGTACATGGGATAATCAAATCAGGCGGCTCGGTTGCAATCCTGGACCAAAACGTATCTGCTGGGGACCAGATCGTCAAGGACCTCACGGCAGAGTGTTGCCGATTCTATCAGACAGACGTGTCATCAACCGACAGTATTGCCGCCGCTGTTTCTGCTGTCAAAGAATGGACCAAAGCCAGTAGGCGTCCACTCGGCGGCGTGGTGACAGCAGCCGGCATTGGCATCCCGACCCCTGCAGTTGACCAAAGCGGGCAGACGCCCCTGAACATTCAGAATTGGGACAAAGTCTTCCAAGTCAACGTTCGCGGCAGCATAGACCTAGCTACACAGCTGCTGGTCGGCTGGGCCAAACCCATGATCACTACAAAAAGCGAGAAGGGATCAAATGCTCCAGGATCTGGCGAGCAGCAAGACGACACGGACCCCGACCCTGACCATGACCGGGGCGCAATCATCTTTGTGTCATCAATTGTAGCGTTCGAAGGCACGTCGGGCATGAGCGCATACGCCGCCTCAAAGGGTGCCATCATCGGCGCCGTGCTTCCACTGGCAAGGGATTTGGCCGAGTACGGCATCCGCGTGGTGTCCATAGCCCCCGGTGTGTTTCAGACACCACTGTATGCGCGGCTTCCGGAGCTTATTCAAGCACAAAATGAGGGCGCTGTGGTCTTCCCGAAACGTGCAGGAGAGCCTGGCAAGGACTTTGCGGCGCTCGTCAAGCACATTTTCGAAAATGTTTATATCAACGGTACGACGTTGAGACTAGATGCAGGTATGTGTGCATGCATAAGGCTCGAGTGGATGGATCCAAGCATTACTATTACTAACATTGCTCATCATAGGGCTGCGTATGCCATGGCAAGGCGCATGAATGATAGGAAATAGGAGTGCAGGGCGAAATCGAGAACACGTATCAGCTACTAGTGACGTGGACTTCGTGGACATGTCAGTGGGTTCCTTGCCCCCCCTCCCCCCCTCCCCCCGCGGGGGGTGGCCAAAAAACATGGTATATAAGGCATTTCTCTTGTGCCTCACTGGCAGCAACTGGCATGCTCTGAAACAAGCACAGTATCGTGTGACATTTTGTTTCATAAAGATAGGAATAAGTGTATAGGAGAAGTTGGGGAATACTTTGCCCGCGGTTTGCGGCTCTGTTTCCGTTACGCGCTTTTCAAGATTTCAACGACAGCGGCCCACTCCGAATGGGTCTATACCTATACTTTTTGATCGGCTATAGCTGCCTTGAGCCTTGGTACAAAACACATGTTATTCAGCTTTTTCAATGGATCACAGGTGCCATTCCCGGAACACTGAAAGGCTCTATTCATCGCTACTTAGAACCAATGGAAACAATCGCCATTCCGACTTTGCTCACACTTGCCTTAGATAGTCCATCCCTTCTAACCGCAACAAGATCAATGACTCAATCCTGACCCAGCCGACCGGCTAGATGCAGTGCCGCGATATACCCAAAGGTCATGGCTGGGCCGATACTACTTCCTCCACCCGGGTATTGGCCTCGCATTATACTATTATTGTCGCAACCCACGGCGTAAAGACCCTTGACGACGCTGCCTTCCTTGGATAGCACTTGAGCGTTCTGGTTGGTGGCCAAACCATACATGACGCTCACGTTCCCTGGGTACAGAGGAAGAGCATAAAAGGGTGGCTTGCGAATCGGTCCCAAGCTGGAGTTCGGTTTGACGGCGGGGTCGCCGTAGAATTGATCGTAGGCGTCTTCGCCACGATGGAACTGAACATCCCTGCCCGTCTTTGCGTACGTATTCATGTCCTCCACTGATTGTTGTAGGTTTGCTACTGGGATCTTGAGGGTCTCCGCCAGCTCGGGGATCGTTTGCGCCTTGATCAGATAGCCCTTGCGCAGGACGTTGCGGTTCCAGTAGGGCCACGGCAGCGCCATGCCCATGCCGTAGTTGCGCAGATGGTCCGCGTCGGCGATGTAGTAAGCCTTGTTGATCTGGAGGGAGTGCATTTTCTTGACAAAGTCCTGGTAATTTCGCGACTCGTTCTCGAAACGCTTCCCATTCTCGTCCACGATGAGTGATCCCGGCTTCGTCCGATCGCCCGCAAAGTGCGGGAGACAGCGCGTGCGGTTGTCGTCATACTGAAGCACAGAGATCGGTGCGTAGATGGCATTGTCTTCGTTGGGTGGTGGGAGATATCCTCCGGCCTCGAGGCCCAATCGGATCCCGTCTCCCAGGTTTGTCTTTGGCACAGCACTCCAGTCTTGAGGCACAAACTCCTTACCTTCTTCAGACCTGCCGAAACCTCCAGTAGCAAGGACAACGCCTTTGGAAGCCTTGATGGGAATCTGCTTTTCTCCATTGGCAACGGAGAGAAGCACACCCACGACGCGGTCGTCTTCCATCAGTGGCCCCGTCACTTCAGCTTCAGTTTCCAGCGTCACTCCTAATTCGATGGCAGTGAGGAGCAAACGACCAACTAGAGCGTTGCCACCGACCATGAAGGACCCTTTTCCATAAACGAGCAGGTCAAGAATCCAGTTGGCACCTTTCTTTGCCGTGTGGACCAAGTTGGATACCGAGCCAAAGGGATTTTGCAGAATTTCCGTCTCCAAGGGGCTCACCTGCATCGACCCAAACGCCTTCATGCCCTGTAACGTATAACGAACATTGCACAACTCCTGGCCAAGCAGTCTGCCATTGAAGTCGACTGGTATGATTGTACGACCTTTGGACGCGCCTTCAAGATTTGGCCGGTAGTCAGGCAGCGTAGTTGCTTGAAATTTGACGGCGGTATTGGCTTCCATCCATTCCACCATCTTTGGGGCCGTATTAAGATATGCTTCGATGTTCTTTTCCGCACTCGCAAAATGCGTAGGACCAAGAACACTGCGCAGATACGTCTCGGCGGCAGTTTTGGTGTCTCGAACTCCTATAGTAGGCTGGTACTTGTTCACTGGGATCCACGGAGCGCCTCCAGAATAGGCCGTCGTCCCACCGAAAAACCTCGTCTTCTCGAGCACCAGGACCTTCAAGCCATTCTGGGCCGCGGTAACTGCGGTGGTCAGCCCCGACGCGCCGGATCCCAGGACCACTACGTCGTATTGGAGATCAGCTGAGAGTCGCTGCAACCGAATTTTGTTAGATATAATTTCAGTAGTCCTTCCAATTGTCCCAGGCTACGTATAGAGAGAATAGGGCGAGAGAGGCGAGTGCAAGTACATGCCTCGTCAAAAGTGGTATTCAACCTCTTTCTGTTCGTCCGCCAAAATAGCAGTGACCCTGCGACCGCCGTACTCCGTTTCAGCTGGGTCCTTGATGCCGCGAAATTCATAGTTCGGGTGTGGCTTTTTTCTGAGTTGTGGCGGTCATGGGATTTGAAAGGGTTCGCACGGACGTGCTGTAAATGTTTTGTTGGCTCTGTGACCTCTTCAGGACCAGAGGCAGTATGGACCAGGCGCTTTGACGCACGCGGTATTCTAATCCCTGGTCATTAGGGTAAAGAAGCTTCAGACATTGCGAAGAAGTGAACGAAACGGAGCAAACATAAAAACGTCGAACACAAGACCGAATCCGACCAACCGGGAGATCCTACTGTGCCGAAAAGGTGGAGTATTCCTCACATATCCAGACACCTAAATGCCCGGGACTGGGTCTCCGAAATCCAGGGGGAAGTACCTTTTGCTGGTTTGACTTTATTTGCATCGTCTGCAGGAACAGAAGTCGACGTGATACGATGCGGTTATTACGTGGAAGTGATTCAAATGAAATGGCCAGCGGTGACTATCAGACAGGATAGAATCGAACCACTCAAAGGAAAGGCTGAAGGGAGCCAATGAGCAAGAGTTTAGATATTAAAATGCTTGATTTCTCTATACAACAAGGATCTTTCAGTCGGAAGCAGTGGCTACGGACACCACTAATGGCAACTTTGTTAATCCGAAGAACGCTCTTGTTTCTTCGATGAAGGCTCTCTTGTCAAAGCCCGGCGCAAGCTCGAAGTCAAACGCTGGTATAAGTCTGCACAATGCAACGTTAGTCAAAGTTTCTGAAGTCCAGCTCTATGACCTGAAAGGGGGGTTTGGAGACAAAATCCAACATACTTATACAAGAACAGCCGGATCTGTAGTAGTGCCAGCGGTTTCCCGATGCAAGAATATGTGCCCAATGAAAACGGCATGAAGGCTGTCGTGTTATGAGCACCCTCGAACCCAGAGCCTTCGATCCACCGCTCCGGGATGAAATCCCATGGCTTTTCGAAGTTGCGCGGATCGTGGTGTACTGTCCAGGTTGGCACACTGACTTTGGTGCCCTCGGGGATATTGATTCCGTTAGGAGTCATTATTCCACCTGGTGTGTTAACTACCCTCTGCATGCCATTCGGACCAGAAGGTAACAGTCGTAGGGCTTCGTTGATGCAAGCGTTCAAATACGGAGCTCGCTTCCAGTCTCCGAGCCTTGCAGCCTCGAATGGTTCATCTGGGGAGAAAATCGTGCGACACTCCTGTCGCAGTTTTAGATATGCTTTCTTGTCGAGGAGCAGCCAATACATAGCAGAACTATGAAAAAGAATCTCAGTTTCCAGTATAATTTATCGTAGGGGAAGGACAAATCTGGGGAGGACTGTACGTGATAGCAATACTCGTGGTATCGCTTCCAGCGGCGATGACCAACCGAGTTTCGGAAGCTAGGCCATGGGTGCTCAACTTGTAGGCTGGATTTCTTTCCCCGGCCGACATCAAGAAACCGAGGACATCAATCTCAGCAGAGCCCTGGGTTTGCATCCGTTCCGACAACTTTTCTTCGCTAAAGGTTTTGAATTGCTCGATCTGAGCAAGTTGACTCTTTTTGAGTGGCAAATATGCGAAAAGCGGTTTCACCCAAGATACTTCAGCTAGGGAAGCAACATGCTGCAACGTTGCATGGATGAACTCGACATAGAAATGGCCCTTTGCATTTTGAACCGCGTGGAAGTCGACATTCTGGCCTTGTCAGAGAACAGGATCACAAAGTTTCTTCCTGCTGGACTCGGTCATGATGATTTCGCGGGGATGCAGAAGGACTTACAAAGGCAATCTTGCCAGTGGTATCGACCAAAAGACGCTCAGACCACAGGGCGAGATCAACTTTCTCTCTTGATTTCGCGGCCCCTTTGAATTGCGTTATCAGCTGTTCCAGGATGTTCAATATACGGCCTTCGTACACTCTCAGAGCTCTGGGTGTGAAAACCTCATCCCAGATTTTGCGCTGAGATTTATGCTTGTCAAAGTCGCGAATCTCGATGAGCGATTGGACCACGTCCGAGTTCAAGTCCTGGTACCACGGCCCTTTGGGAAATCTTGACTTGTTGCCATGAATGATTGGGATGAAGCTCGGATCTGCGATGGAGATTTCATTGGGACCTATGCGGACGAAATCACCCAGCTCTCGATGTTGCTTCATCATAACGTGAAGAGTGGTCCCACGGTTAGCATCGACGTAGTGTCTCCATTTCGTGAGGGCCCGCAGCTTTTCACCCGGAAATTTGCTGAGAGGACTGAGATAGAGCCGATAGAATGCAATCGAGACACTAAGTCAGGTTAGCATGCTACAGTCCCGGCGTACTCTGGCTCCCAGTTCCTACCCAAGCGTGCAGAAATACAAAAGAACCGCTTTCACCGGAGCCCAGACCCTGATGTGGAAGACCGCAAAGTTGGTGGATAAATTACTCCAGACGAAGAAGAGCACGCCCAACCCTGCGGACTGGAGCAGGAAACCAATGGCAGTAGGTTCAAATCGCTTGTAGAAGACATGAGCCAACTAGCTCCAGGTTAGATATCGCATCGAATGCCAACAGTGCAGAGAACCCTAAACTTACAAACCCCAGCGCCACGGCGACAAACCCGACGTGCTCATGCTCGACAAAGGTCAATGTGCGTAACACTGTCATTCTGAGAATCCGGGATCGAATGGAATTGACATCAGAATTGCGACAGAAGGATTTGAATCAGATCCTGGGAATGACAAAAGGCCTAGAATGGTTTCATGTGGCCTGGGGATAAAGTCTCCTTGGTGCCTTCCTTCTCCGGATGCGCCTCTCTGCAAGAATCTCTTCCCCAGACTTCGGGCTTCGGAGGAGTGGCGCCAATGTGGAGCGGAAGACTGTCTTGCCCACTCCGATTGGCTCGGAGAGAAGCCCTTTTGCCCCGAGTGTGTCCCCACCCCGCGTTGTGCATACATGCATTGTTGTGTTGGAAGTTTTCGGAAGAAGAGAGAGCTTCCTAGAGCAACATGACTACAGGCTCCTTATGTGGTCTCGCACGGTAAATTGACGCTAGCAAAAAAGCTCGCTCTAATGCCCCGGAAAGCTTTCCATACGACTAAATCAAGCCGGTCTCTGACACCGCAGCTACTAGATGGCTCCCTTACTGACCCGCCGCGGCCTTAAGGAGCAACATGAAGTGCGGATCCACGAGCCGAATACCCCCGGAGGAGGAAACTGGATCCCAAGACACATTTGACCTCCACCAACCAGAACTATGCAGGTGCAGAGCGACTTCTGTCGACTCGTCGCTCATAAATCTGCCGTCAGGGCTACCAGGGTTAATTTCATGAAGGCGTTAGCACTACGGCGACTGCTTTGAGCTTGAATAACATTTCCTCGAGCACGAAATGGCCAACGTTGCTGCACCACGCAAGCTATGGCAGAATGCTGATCCGACGCAAACAAACATGGACAAGTTCCGTCGCCAGATTAACTCGAAGCGACGACTTGCGCTGAAGGACTATGCAGAACTCCATGCATGGTCGATAGACCCTCGTACAGCATCCGACTTTTGGGCTGATATCTTTGAATTCGAAGGCCTCGCGAAACATGCGCTGCCCATCAAAGGCTCGGTGCTGCCGCAGGTAAGCATGCTCCACAAGCCTCGGTGTCGATAAACCGACCTTAGTCCGGGGAGCAGCCATGTTTCCGCCGCCGCATTTCTTTCCCCAAGTCCGCATGAACTTCGCGCAGTATTTGTTGAATGTGGAGTCCTTGAATCCCATTGCTATATATGCCGTGCCTGAAGGAGCAAAGACCGTACGAGCTATCACGCGGCAAGAGCTATGTGAACAGGTCATGGTGATAGCGGACGTTCTGAGGCAGGCTGGTGTGAGAAAGGGAGATCGCGTGGCAGCCGTCCCATTGTGGCTTGTCTAGCCACCTTGAGCATTGGGGCACTGTGGTCAACTTCATCACCAGACATGGGTACAGAGAGCATCATGCAGCGGCTCGAGCAGATCGAGCCCAAGATTGTCTTCTTCGAAAGTTCTGTGCATTACAACGGAAAGCTGCGCTCCCTGACCGAGAAATACGAACAATGCCTAGGCCGGCTTCGAAAGGTGGCTGATTTCAAACGCGCGGTGCTTATCATTCGCGATGAGCCCTATTCCAAGGAACAACCCGACAGCACAACCTGGGGTCGCTTCTTGAGCACAGCAAAGGGCCGTCCACTGACTTTTGAACAACTGCCTTTCAGTCACCCTGGATTTATTGTATATTCTTCTGGAACGGTGAGTTCACATCTTATGCTTTTTCATCGAGTACGTCATGGACTTTTGACTGAGAGTATCACAGACCGGCGCTCCCAAATGTATAGTTCACAGTGCGTGTGTAAGTCAATCAGAAAGCATCACGCGAGAGCTCTGGAGACTGACGCGTGATATAAGGGACTCCTAATGCAAGTCAAGAAAGACTACCTTCTTCATTTGGATGTGCGCCCAGGCGATACAGTGTACCAATATACCACGGTAAGGGACATTCCTGTCGTGCCGGAAGTGATAACACTGACAGCAGAGCAGACTGGATGGATCATGTGGGCAATGGTTCTATGCGGTCTTTCTTACGGAGGCAGTGTGGTCGTATATGATGGCTCTCCGCTGTATCCGGACCCGTTGGTCACCCTTCGCCTGGTGGAGAAGCTGAAGTACGTATGAAGCAGAAGACCTAGAGATCGGTACAGACCACAGTCGCTGATATCGCCCCCAGAATATCCTTGTTTAGCACATCTGCCAGTTCTTGACCGATCTACAGGAGAGAAACATTTGCCCTAGTACGTCTGTTACTTCCCAAAGGTAGCCTTCATACATTGACACTCTCACCTTAGAGCAAACCAATGATCTTAGCAGCTTGCGAACTGTATCTTCGACGGGCTCCGTCCTTCCAGCAAGGGTATGCGAATGGTTCTACGATGCCGGGTTTCCTGACACAGTGCATCTTATGTCTGGCAGTGGTAGCACAGACTTGGCATGTTCTCGTAAGGACCACCATAACATCCCAACCGATGCTTCTAAGGTCTAATTTTACTTTTCTCCAGTCGTCTCTAGAGATCCCACCAGTCCTGTCTACTCGGGAGAGATCCAAGCCCCCGCCCTGGGGATAGCGATAGACATACTCGACAGCGCCAAAGATCACCCCATCTCTCTTATAAATACTGGAGTGCCTGGCGAGTTGGTTTACCGTCAGCCATTTACGTCCGAGCCTGCCGAGTTCTAGGGCAGAGATGGGAAGACTAAGTATCAGAAGGCATATTTCGAGCGATTCGGAAACAATATCTGGACCCAAGGCGACTTTATTTCGGCGTCGCCCGTATCAGGCGGTTTCACCATATTAGGCAGAAGGTCAGTCTTTCAGGAGGGAGGGAAACCGTTTCCTTCGTCAACATCCCCAGGCTCAAATGGATCGTTAGTACATATACTAACCGAGGAAATACAATCCAGCGATGGTGTCCTCAATCCCTCCGGTGTACGATTCGGCTCGGCGGAAATCTACCAGGCGATTAAGAAATTCACAGAGTTCGAAGAAACTATATGTATCGGTCAGCGTCGTCCCCAAGATAACGATAAGGCTGTGATTCTGTTCGTTAAGATGAAAGGCTCACAACATTTGACAAAAGCCCTGATCGTCTCCGTCCGCTCGGCCATCTCGACTTCACTGAGTCCTCGCCACGTGCCAAAATTCATTTTCGATGTTCCGGAGATCCCTTACACCATCAATGGCAAGAAGATTGAACTTGCAGTGAAGCAAATCGTCTCTAGCCAAGTCATCACGCCATCAGGGGCCGTGATGAACCCCGAAAGCCTGAAATTCTTCCAAAGATTCGCCCACGACTCGTACTTGAAGCAGAAAGTGGAAGAGCCAAAAAACCAGCTTTGAGCGGTTGAGTTTCTTAATCCTATCACTTACGTATTTTTTTTGAGGATGGAGACTGCTTGAGAAGACACATGTAAAGGCAAGGAGTCGCTGATAGAAAGAAAACCCATTGTTGATATAGGAGTCTGGATCTTGAATGGACGAGCAAGATTGGCACAGTTTAGGAGACTGACATGTGTCACAGCGGTTTGTCTCGTTCTCCTAAATCGTGCCCGATCTTTGTCATCCGCTCAATACAGCTTTTACGCCCATGGACGGAGATCGCAGGAGTAAGGAGGGTTGCTTGACGATATGTGCTGTTCTTCACGTCCTAACGTGGGAGAATTCGGACTCGCCAGCTTACAACAATTTCTCATGAATGGGTTGTGGGAGCTCCGGACGGCGTCATAAGAAAATAGACCTCTAGATTGACCGGGCCAATTTTTGCCATTACCATCGATCCCTACCATCGTAAAGAGGCGCTCAATTGTCTTTAGAGCCTACGAGTGAGTAGAGGGCTACGACATCAGCCGACGAATCCACCCTTTGTGAGAAGCCTGTCCCACGGAATGCGGCGCAACCAATAATACCTCGCAGGCGGCGGACGCGGCGCACACTCAAGTCCAGACAGCTCCACTGCATCACGATGTTTGCTTCCCGTTCTAGAATAAGACACCCTTGACCTGCGCGTTCTTGGAGATGTTGATGTTACGGATCATCAGGACGAAGAAAAGTGCCAGGCCCATGACACTGGTTCCGGCGATCAACATCCTGCGTTGCGCAATTCCATATGCCTCCATGATGGCCTCGCGCGCCGGACTGTCCATCGGATAGCTCAGCTGCACGGTCAAGTCACCGTAGATGGTCTCCCACTCGGGCTTGAGGTTCTCGGGCAGGAGTCTTTGGAGTGCGCCGGGCAGAGAATGCGTCCAGATGGCGCCGCAGATGCTGTTCCCCACGGCTCCGCCCATGTACCCGAAAAGACCGAGCATTGCCAGCACGGCGGCGATCTGGCCGTGCTCCGCGGCCGCCATGACAGCGACTTGTTGGCACAGGATCATGGTGCTGCCCGCGAAGGCGATCAGGATCTGACACATGATGATGTACCCGATATTGGTGTGCGGCCGGCGGAAGTGAATCATCAGACCCACGCCCAGTATGTACAGCGGGACGGCACACAACAGAAGCCACTTGAAGCGGCCAGTAACGCGCATGAGAAAGCCCACGAACAGCAACCACAGCCCGGAGATGATGTCGAAGGTACTGCTCACGTAGCCCGCCTGCGCGATCGTCAGGTTGTTGACCACCTGCAGGAAAGAGCTGAAGTAGCTGCCCCAGCAGTAATACGCGATCTGGTACACAGCGTCGAGGAGGAGAGCGCCGAGAATGGTCCGCGAGACGAGGAGTTGGTAAGGGATGAAAGGCTTTGGTGCGAGGTATCGCTCGAAGGCAGCGAATGCGAGCAGCAGCACAAAGCCCACGACTAACATTGCGATGATGGAGCCGGATCCCCAGTCATCCGCTGTCGATTGGGCGAGGGAAAAGGGTAAGAGGAAGAGAACCAGCCCCGTCGCGAGGAGAATGACACCAAAAGCTGTAGTATAATTCGTCAATAAGTTGAGTTCCGTTCCCCCAGAGAGAAAAGGGGGGGGGGGGGGGGGGGGGGGGGTTTGGCACAGTTACTTACCGTCAAACTCAATAATGTAGAACCAGATGCTCTGAAAGAGTGTTCGGCCGCTCTTGGGCCTGTCCAACAATCCCTGCTTCTTCGCTTTGCGCAAGTTATACTGCATGACGAGGTACAACGGCGCAGCCACAAAGGGGGTGACGATCGCAAAGGTCCCAAATGCCCAACGCCAGTTGATGTCTTCGTAGAAGCCCTCTGAGGCACTAGGGCCTGCAAAAGCGGTGACCATGTATGGGGAAGAGGTAAATGCGAAAGCAAGGCCCCGGTTCTTCAACTTGCTGGTGTCAGCTGTCATGACATCCACCGAGTAGATCATCCCGGTGAACCCAATGCTAGTAAAGACCTACGTAGCCATCTTAGTGATCTGACATAACCAAAATTAGGCGTCCGCTCGACGGCTAACATACCTGGGCTGCGCAGAATGTTTGAATGTTTGTACAGGCGGCTTGCAGGATGAGGCCCAGTGTACCTAGGCTGACCATGAATAGGAATGCTTCTGGCCGACCCCAAATATCCAACATTTTCGCAATCGGCAGATAGGCAGCTCCCGTCATCACGCTGGAGACGATGTAGATGACTGGGATGAGCGAGTGGTATTCGAATCCACTGGTCACGTATGGTGTAAGGTTGGCCGTGATGGAAAATTGAAAAGCGTTGACAAAGTACAGCAGATAGAAGCTATTCAGCCGATGAGTTAGCAAGATGGGATGTAGGGCGTCGCCGGACATGTCGATGACGAGGACGTACCACATGTAGGTGATGATGAGGGACTTCTTACTCCATGCCAGCGTGATTGCCTCAACTCTTCTCACGCCTTCCTGAGCATCTTGGGCTGGGAACTCTGGTTGGATTCCATCGCTTCCATTACCACTGTTAACGGGTTCGTGTGCGTGAGCTGCGGCATTCTTGTCATCGACACTCTCCAACACTGTGCTTTCCTGGCTCTGTTCCGCGATATTGTTTCCATCTGAGCGCAGAAACTGTCTTAGCGAGTTGAGTTTGAATCTTCCAGCAGCAGACATGGTGAAAGCGTCTCTAACGACCCGGTGTTGATGCGAATGGGAATTTGTAGTGGACGAGGATTTTCAACGTGGATGGATGGATTCACTCAGATGGCTTAGGTATAAGCCCACAACATGCCATGCCATCAAGCCTAGCCCCCTTTATCCAAGCAGGACATCGAGAACAACGAGTATGGCCAGAGCCCAAGTTGAGTCCCGATGTCGGATTCATTCCGACATGCCAATCAACAACAAGATCTCCGTTGAGGTCAATTTGCTCATTTGACTTGGCTTGTACGCTCGAATGATCATGACCCTGGATAGCCAAGAGTGAAAAGCTTTTTCTGTCTTGAGATTTTCACGGACTTCAAGTGAGCATTTGCATCGGCTGATAAGGTATGGTCAAACCACGCGTAGGCGCCTGAGCCACAGTGCAGACCGTGACTGGAAAAGCTCAATTGTCATAGCTCTGGCAACATATGCCAAGGGTCCAGACTGCAGACTGCAGCGCCGGGAGACCGTGCAGCTGGTGTGCGAGACGGGTACAATAGCATTGGCGTGGGCTTCTACCCTCATCCGTGACTTGAGGCCTGGCAAGCGGCTCGGCGCCCAGGACACAGGGGAAACAGTGATCCAAGTCGAAGAAGCACCGGGCTTGTCATCGGAAGCCAATATTGCAAAAAAGCTGAGAGAGTGGAACGTGGGAGTTGGCAGGGGCTTGGCTCCGTCGTTATGTGACTGATGATCGGATTTTCGCTGTCAAATCTAATCACGTCCTGATACAGAAGATTTGATTATCCGGAAGTGGAATATCGCTTCGATACTCTGATGTAAGCGCAGGGAAGCTGGCAACTATAAAATGGAGCTCCCAGACAAGCCAAGGATGGGGTGGATTGCGCCAAGTCCTCCATCGAGAATGCGAAGCATATTTTCACTGCAGGGACACCGTGTACGCTCTCTTGTGTCCTGTCGTCATCACTTTGCGGCGATACGGCTTCAGAGCAGATGATCGTAAATCTTTTTGTCTGCATCGCAGCGGGGTCAACGGGAATATACATGTTGTCGAATGAGGCTGAGGAGTATCGACCGGCGTTGTCAAGTCGTTGTCTTGTCGCCACGTCCATTGCCGATTGGGGTGAAATGCAAAGTCCGAGGTCGGAGAAAAATCTTTCGTCGTGCTCGGCACAAGCTCGAACTCCATTCTCCTAGTGAACAAGACGATCCAGTGCCCACCAAAACGATGCCAATGGTCCACGCGAGGAAGAATGAAACGACGATGATCTTATCAGATGAAAATTTTTCATGATCACGAAGACCTGACATGGGTCTCTGGGTCTGGAGCTGAACCCATGGAGAAGCTCCACTGGAAGTAAGCTCGGCGGGAACGGCGCGATGAGGGCCGTATCTGGTTGGTATGTGGCATGCAGAATCACGCACCGATGAAACTTGGCAGGTGTAAAGAAGCTGCAAAAGTGGAAACGTGGATCTTGGGATTCGTTATCTGATGAAAATTCTCCTGCTTGAGCAAGTGGAAATTAAGTTATCTGATCCGCTCGCAGAACTCCACTCTGTGAAGGATAGTGGAGCCTGACCGTTAGTACAGGTAAAACCAGGGTGTAATTTTGGTATTGTATCATCTTTCAAATGACACCGATCTCAGGTTGAGACGGCTTTCCGGATTCTCCCATGGGGCCATGTCATGGTCCCATCATCGCGAGTAGGAACGCCATTGTCGGCGAACGGAGTCTTTTGTTGAAGGCACAATTTGGTTGCATCAATTCTACACGAAGAGGAGGATGGTTCAGGCGCTCCCAGTCGTTGGCCAACCAAGAAATCGTTCTGAGTGCCTCGATCCTCCTATGTCATCGATCGAGGCCTCATCAATGCTTCCACCACTACAACAATTATGATACAGCATCCAGCCGCGTTCATGGATGGCAACAAGGGCACCGCTTCACCACCTCTCGACTTGGTGTGTGTCGGTTTTGACCTCACTGGCATCGCAAACGCTGTCGCATTGGACGAAAGACATGCACTCAGCAAGGATACCTTGTTCCTGGAATCTCAATTGGAAGCATTCTGGAAGCCACTCCGGTGCACACCTGCCTCCAGACTGAGGATCTCATTTCTCCACGACCTGATCACCTCAGAGAATCCGCGTTCTCGATTCACCTTTCTCAACTACCTCCATGCAACTAATAGGCTCGTCTTATATGCGAACAGCGCTCAGCTGCGCCCGACCAGGCAGATGTTCAGCGACTACTTAAGATGGTGTGCTACCCGCCTTCAAGCCCAAGTCCAGTACGGCAAGATGGTCACCAGTGTGCAACCATTGA